CCTGTTACCCCCAATGGAGCATAGGCCGCTCACCAGTTTTCTCCAACCAACTCTGTCCTGGGCTTCCCTCTCCAGTTCTGTCCAATGTTTGTTCATTCTTCTCATATCTTTCTCTATTTCTCGGCGTAGTGTGTTCCTTGGCCTTCCTCTTTTCCTTTTGCCTTGAGGGTTCCATGTGAGGGCTTGTCTAGTGACGCAGTTGGGTGCTTTTCGTAGTGTATGTCCTATCCATTTCCACCGCTTCTTCCTGATTTCCTCCTCCATTGGAATCTGACTTGTTCTCTCCCACAGTTCGTTGTTGCTGATGGTGTCTGGCCAACGAATACGAAGTATTTTGCGTAGACAACTGTTAATAAACACTTGTATCTTCTGGATGATGGCTTTGGTAGTTCTCCATGTTTCCGCTCCATACAGTAGAACTGTCTTCACATTTGTATTGAAAATCCTTATTTTGGTGTTGATTGATATCTGTTTGGAGTTCCAGATATTTTTCAACTGTAGAAATGCAGCCCTCGCTTTGCCAATCCGCGCCCTCACATCTGCATCCGATCCACCTTTCTCGTCGATGATGCTGCCAAGATATGTGAAGGTGTTAACGTCCTCCAAGGTATCTCCATCAAGCGTGATTTGATTGGTGCATGTTGTGTTGCATCGGAGAATTTTGCTTTTTCCTTTATGTATGTTGAGACCTACTGCTGCAGAGGCTGCTGCTACACTGGTCGTCTTCTCTTGCATTTGTTGTTGGGTGTGCGATAGAAGAGCCAGATCATCTGCGAAGTCCAGATCGTCCAGCTGCGTCCTAACTGTCCAGTTGATACCGTGCTTCCCTCCAGATGTTGACGTCTTCATAATCCAGTCGATGACCAGGAGAAAGAGAAAGGGTGAGAGTAAGCAACCTTGCCTGACACCGGTCTTCACCTCGAAAGAGTCAGTTAGCTGTCCTCCGTGCACGATTTTGCAGTTGAATCCATCATAAGAATTCCGTATGATGTTGACTATTTTCTCAGGCACACCGTAGTGTCGAAGAAGCCTCCACAGTGTTTTCCTATCCACGCTATCAAATGCTTTCTCGTAGTCGATGAAGTTGATGTAGAGTGGTGAGTTCCATTCAATTGATTGTTCCACAATGATCCGTAATGTAGCAATTTGGTCAGTACACGATCGATCCTTACGAAATCCGGCCTGTTGATCTCGAAGTTGGGCGTCTACGAAGTCCTTCATTCTGTTTAACAATACTCTGTTGAAGACTTTGCCTGGTATTGAAAGAAGAGTGATGCCTCTGTAGTTTTCACACTTGCTCAGATCGCCTTTCTTTGGTATTTTGATCAGGTATCCTTCTTTCCAATCTGATGGTACTTGTTCCTCATCCCAAATCTTCTTGAAGAGAATGTGAAATATTTTCGCAGTTGCTTCCACATTTGCTTTCATTGCCTCTGCTGGAATGTTGTCTGGTCCTGCTGCTTTGCCGCTCTTGATTTGTCTGATGGCTATACTGATCTCCTCAATCGTAGGTGCGCCAATATTAATTGGGAGGTCCGTGGATGCTGCTTCGATGTTGGGTGGGTTCAGTGGAGCTGGTCGATTCAATAGTTCCTTAAAGTGCTCCACCCACCTATTTCGCTGTTCGTCAGTGTTGCTGATTATTTTCCCTTCCTTGCTTTTCACTGGTCGTTCTGGTTTACGATAGTTTCCGGCGAGCTTCTTTGTAGTTTCGTACAATTGTCTCAAGTTTCCTTCTCTTGCAGCCTTTTCCGCCGTCATTGCTAGATAATCCACATATTTTCGTTTGTCAGCTCTGATGCTCTTCTTCACTTCCCTGTTTGCTTCTGTGTATGCAGCTTGTGCGGTAACTTTCTCCGCTCTTGTTCGGCTGACATTGATTGCTGCTTTCTTGTTCCTCCTTTCTTCAATTTTTGCGAGAGTATCAACAGAGATCCATTCCTTATGATGCTGCTTCTTGCGACCAAGGACCTCCTGACATGTTGAAGTGATTGCCTCCTTAATCCCTTTCCAATTGTTCTCCAATGTTGCTTCCTCTCCATTGAGTAGATCCTGAAAGGCCTGGAACCTATTGGTGAGGGCTATCTTGAATTCGTTGAGTTTTACGGTATCCCGAAGAAAGGCCGTATTAAACTTGTGTGATGTTGTCTGCCCCGCTGTCCAGTGCTTCTTTAGCTTCAATCTCATTTTGGCGATCAGCAAGTGGTGATCTGAAGCTATACTGGCTCCTCTCTTGGTTCTCACATCCTCCATGGTCCTTCTGAACTTTTTGTTGATACAGATATGGTCAATTTGGTTTTGAGTAGTGTGGTCCGGTGAAATCCATGTGGCTTTGTGAATGCGTTTGTGCGGGAATATTGTGCCACCGATGACCAGTTTGTTGAAGGCACATAGGTTTGCAAATCTCTCACCGTTTTCGTTCCTTTCTCCCAGTCCATGTCGTCCCATGATGTCTTCATATCCAGTGTTGTCCATTCCAACCTTGGCATTCAGGTCTCCCATAAGAATCGTCAAATCCTTTGATGAACATTTATCGACGACTGACTGCAGCCTTTCGTAGAATTGATCTTTAACGTCGTCATTGTAGTCATTGGTAGGTGCATAACATTGGATGACGTTCATTGTAATGTCCTGTTTCTTTGTTTTGAAAGATGCTTTAATGATCCTGGGTCCATGAGATTCCCATCCTATCAGTGCTTTTTGTGCATGTTTGGACAGCATCAGTGCAACTCCTTGTGTATGTGAAGCGTTTTCCTCTTCATGACCAGAGTATAACAGCAGTTCCCCTGAAGCAAGTCTCAGTTGTCCTACCTGTGTCCAATGTGTTTCACTGATGCCGAGCACCTCGAGGTTGTATCTTTTCATTTCTGCCGCAACTTGAAATAGTCTTCCAGTCTCCCACAATGTACGAACGTTCCATGTACCTAAAAAAATGGTTGCTCTGGTTGTCAGAAGAGGCATCGGCCCCGTGACTTCCGAGGGGACTCGGCTTTCATCACGAGACGTCATAATTCTTCCTCCAACTCCCAGGGCAGAGTTAAAATGGTTTGAATTATTTTTTCTGGTTAGCGTTTTTTTGGCAAGTTAGATTTCAACGGAATGGGGCCGCCAACCCCATGTCCAACCCTCCTCCTTTATCCGGGCTTGGGACCGGCAGTAGCCCCTAAGGTTCTACTGGCGGAGTTATCTGATTTATTTGCTGTACTATTTTCTAATGCATATTTATTGAATGCGAATGTTTTTTTCTAGGCTTTGTTCATTTGTTTTCAATTTATATAATTGTTATCGTATGTCAATAAGTCCTCACTTGCCATGTATATATATATATATATATATATATATATATATATATATGCTAGTCACACCAGAATTCGGCTTCGCTCATCAAAACCTATATTGTCACGCATCGACAAAAAAATTGAGACGAATGAAATATTTTGTTTATTGTCTTTTGTATTTATTCGTAAATTAAAGTGATATCAGGAATGTGTTTATTGATTTTTTTTCTTTTTGCAATGAAATCGTTTCGCGTTTTGTTTTACTTGAAAAAATAGTAATCGCTTTATATTTTTTTTATCAATTATTCTGAATGTTCGAGATTATATCATGAAAGATTATGGTTGGGTTATTATTATTATTGGCTAAAGTAAGAGGCTGACACGTTCAGTAACATGTGAATGTTCTACTTTAATGAACGTGTAGAATTTCGCTAGTTTTCATAAAATGTAAATATCTCAATGTTAATTTAATTAGAATCGATAACTGACTAGTTTAATTACACATAAACCCAAATGTGTTGTGACCCCTTTTTTTAAATATACACTTAGTCGTTCTATAAAATCTGTGTCTTGAAGTTTATGAAACGTTGACACACACTCGTCCGTAATTGGGTATCACGGTTAATTATTTAGTTAGTTGAATTTCTTTTCGGCTTCTTAAGTCTGTTAAAATTAGTTATCAACTGCGTGGAACCATTTATAGTAGTTACCTTTCATGTCGATATATATATATATATATATATATATATATATTAGAAACATAGGCTTATGATCAGAATTCTAGTTTAACCAATCTCCATATCTACTTCATTGGTGTTTATTTATGATCATAGAGTTTGTTAAGGTCTATCCAAAGATATCATTATTTAAAAGCTAGTTGCATAGTATTTGTTAACTGAAACTCAACCCTTGTTCTCATATATCCCGTTATAATTGAGTGTGAAAGGGAATACTTAACTAACTAATATTGGATACCACCTGCTTCACTGGTGGTTATATTGTATGTTGTTGTCTTGTACACTCGGATAATAATTTCTTCAACTTTACAGGATTCAAATAAATTTGTCTCGGTAGAATTTTACAAAATAATATATCTTAACTTTTATCGCCTTATTGATTCACTGTTATTAGGTGATCATCATATTTGATACCCATTTAGCATGAAAATATCGAATTAAGGTTACTTTTCTATTCTGTTAAGTTTTGTACATGATTTCCTATTATGCCTAACACAGTAAGTAAATCAATGTGATTAATAGTTGATTGTTTATAAACATGTTTCAACTGGTTTTGAATATTTATGATTTTTTGCATGTTAATTTATGTCTTATTTTATAGATTGAGGTAGATTTTGAGGTACTGATTTGTGATCTAATAATGTAAACAATACAGTGATATCGAGGGTTTCCAATGTGTAAACCATCAAACTTTATGAAAACTTGCCCATAATTACTAGTATTTTTCTATTCAAACGATACTCTTGATTAATATTCGAATGTCATCATCTGAAGTGCAATTCAAACTTATAATTCACTATTTAAATGTCTACTCCCAAGTTGAAATTCTGAATAATTCTATTCTTATTTCATAGCCTAAAAATTGATTGTTTCCAATTGAATTATGACTTCGTTATTCCTCGTCGCCTTCTTATAATTAGGAACTTTCCAACTAGTAAGCATTAAATGACATTGTTTATTTTCATCAATAATTATTTGACATTTTATGCTTCCTCCCTTTTTAGATTCTATGAATTCACCGATTGTTGGGTCTGCTCCTGTACGCAGTAATCCATTAGGCAGTTTTCCTAGAATAAATTCACCCGTTTCTAACGCGAATTTCTCAACTCGACCTACTGGTGGCAGTGGGACTGTCGTAGAATCACCATTAAGATTGATACGTGCAAGGTGCACATCGTTGACAGTGTCTACAACAGGAGGGAATAGTTCGTCTAATGATGTTAACATGTCTAGTGTACGAATTCATGCCCCTGAATATCAACAACACCAAACTAATAAAATGAGAAATCAACGAATTTTTCAACCAAATCAATCCCAGCTACGCATTTCCCAGCCCAACAATCAATCACACTTATGTAGTTCACAGTTTCAGTCAAAACCCATACCACAATCTCCGCATCCTTCGTCTTCGTTATCTCCTCAGCATCAGTTAACTGTTCAGCATCAAATACAGCCATCTAGTCGTTCAGGAATGACCTTTGGATCGATTCCAAATCAACAATACATTAATACACACAATATTAGTGCAAGTTTACCGGTGAATGTTAACCCATTACTATGTGGTATACAGGATTCTGACAATAATGATTTAAATGATGATAAGGTAAACTAAATCCACAATTATTTTGTTTATTATTATTTATGTGTTACGTCTGTGTTTTGTTGCTAAATACTCTCCTAAACTGTGTACAACAATCATTCTTAGAAGTGATCATAAATCCATATTAATCAGACATTGTATCAGTTATGTTTGCATGCAGTGCATATAGAAAATGGTTAACCATACTGACTTACCCACTGACATGTATTTACAACAATGAACCACTGTTGCACGCGGTGACAGTTATTGTAAAAATTCTTTATTGATTGATTCAATAAAGTTTGGTGCTCCTTAACAATGTGTACCTGTCATTTTGAAGGAACTGGCGTTACTTAACGAATTCAGTCTTATGTTAGCCAGCTTCACAATCTGAAACGTTAGCACTGAACTCTTCTACCCGCGAATTTGAATATTTTAAAATCAGTGTTCGTTTTTTACTTTCACGATTGGTTGTAAGAGATTTTATTATTTTTTTTACTTAGACCCAACTGAAGTGCTTCAATAATATATTTCTTCCTGTGTTGCACCACAATATTCGGTTGTTTTCTCGTCAACGTATATTACTTCCATATTTTTTATCCTCTTAACTGATTCTTTTATGAAATTGTGGACAGAATTTGTAGTTCCAATGGATTGTCTTACTGAGGTTTCGTTTACTGAGCTGTGTAGTTAAATCATAAAGCGTTTATCATCTAATATATCAATCAATCCTAAAAATTATAAAATCAAAGGGGATTAAGATCAAAATAAATATGCAGTGACAGGATTAACGTCAATTAACTCCAATCATGATTGAGATCAACACAAATGGCTGTCAGTCATAGGTGGAGAATTTCACTTAGCTCACTTTCTTCTGAAGTGTGTGCTGGCAATATTGTCCATTAGGACAATGAAAGCTTGACAATCATACTGCCAACATCATAAAACGAAACTGCTCCAAAATGATTCTGTAATGAATGGGTGAGTATATTGAACTGAGAAACATTGATACTTATTCCCCTGTGAATTAACTGGAATATTTATTTGTGATGTTTTATTTATTAAATAATTGATTTGACACATTGTGTCGAATGACTGCGAGAAAGTATTCAGTAGCATGGTCAGGAGGATACTATGGCGTTCCTGAGAAGATAGTCAACATTATACAGAATCCTCATGATGGATTAAACTGCGAGATCGTGCATAGATCACAGCTCACAGACTTGTCCAGAGTGAAGACCGTTGTCAGGTAAGGTTGCTTACCCTCGCCCTGGATTATGAAGACATCGACACCCGGGGGGAAGCACGGGATACAGTAGACGGCTAGGATGCAGCCAGACAATCTGGACTTCTTAGATTATCTAGCCCTCATATCCTACACGCAACAACAAATGCAGAAGATGACCACCAGTGTAGCAACATACACTAGGGAAAAGCAAGATTAACCGATGCAACACAACATCCACTAACCAAATCACACTTGACGGAGGAGCTTTGGGAGATATAAAAACCTTTACATATCTGGGCAGCCTCATTGATGAGCTAAGTGAATTGGATGCAGATTTGAAGATGCTTATCGGCAAAGCAAGGACAACATTCCTACTATTGAAGAACATTTATAACTCAAAACAACCATCAACCAAAAGCTAAGTCGGAATTTTCAGTACAAATGTCAAGACAGTTCTACTGTATGAGGTGGAAAGATGGAAAACTACAAAAGCCATCTTTCATAAGAAACTAATATTTATTAACAATTTTCTATGCAAGATAATGCGGATCCGTTGGCTAGACACTCAGCAACACCTACTGTGATAAAGACGTAATCAACATCTAGCGGAGGAAGAAAATATAAAGTGCCTCTGGAGATATATTGGAGACATTGCGGAAAACACCCAACTGCGTCACAAGACGTACCGTAACTGGCAACCCTCCAGATCAAAGAAAAAGTGGAAGACTAAAGAACTCATTACGCCGAGAATTAAAGAAAGACATGTAAATAACGAACAACAATTGGGTAGAACTGGAAAAGTAGGCCCAGGACAGAGTAGGTTGCAGAATGCTGCTGGGCGGCCTACACTCCATCGGAGGCAACAGTCATTAGTAAGTTAGCTATGCTTCTGGAGATTACCTTTAGTCAACATGGTTAGAGTCCTAAAATATCCCTTGTCAAAGTCTGTAGACGTTCAAAATAAAAGTGTAATTTTAAAATGATTTATATTACAAATAATTTAAAATATTCAACTGAGGAAAATATGTACCTTTGCAAAAACTTGTAAATTGGTATGAAAAAAATCCATAGAACTGTCTGAAAATATCTATCCGAAGCGTAAAACCTTATCACACTTGGTTTGAATAACTTAATGGTAATAAAAAAATTTAGATGTTCGTGTGAAATTGCTTTAGTAAATACCTTTTTTTTTCAAACAGACACCCGGACAGATAGAATCACGAATTAAACTCAGATCTTATAGGTCATTTATTGATCTACAGATAAATTAGTTCATATAGTGATATATATATAACATGAACCGTAATCTCCATTTAATCAATATTTTATTTCTCATCAGAACTTAATTAAATAGTTAATTGAACCTAATTCATTAAATGATGTGGTCATATCATCATTAAACTAGCAAAGTTTTCAGATGTACTTTTTTATGCGCTGATCATGAACTGAGTAAGTTGGATTCATGGGAATAAACTACAGATACCTGATTAAAATTACCTCTCCTTTTCTGACACGACCATGAGTGGCTAATGTGATGGCGGGCATTTTATATATGGATAGCTTGAGATGGTTCGCCTGTTTGTTGGCTGTCCTAATTTTCTAGTAATTTAGGATTTTCACGTACTGGATATGTAAAAAAAAAAATACATTTTTATTGGTGAATTATCTGAAATAACCATTTATCATCCTATTCTCCGCAGCAAAATAAACTATTTTCGTTTTGTTTTGACTCTTTCTCCCCATGGTTAGTGGTATTCGTTCACAGTGTACTTCGAATACGGTTCCTGTTGACCTAAACGTTCGATTTCAATAGCTATTTCTTTGCAGACTGAAAAAGTTAGAACGTAGATTTTAAGAGTTTCAACAAGTGTGCATCGTGTACACAATAAATGCAGATAATTTTTACTCATTACGTTCATCTACGGAGTAAGGGAAATTCTAATAAGCATTAGAAGTTTGAGTTCATCGTTTTGAGATGTACGTTCGGCGTTAAGCTTTACGTGGTAGCGAGTATAAGGTCTTTTAAAATGGTCTACAACCAACCTTATGATTTACAATCAGTTAGACAGAAGATGGTCTTTCGAGGAGAAAGAGAGTTTATCTCTAATACTGCATCATCATAGTGTAGTATGGTTGAATAAATAGACGATACATTTCCCAAAGAAATCTCCATCACTGAAGTGTAGGTTCGCTAAAAGTAAGTGTTTAACTAAATGTTTGGAAGCTGGCTATTCTCGAAATTACTTATATACTCTGTTACGACAGAATTTAGTGCTAAGAGGTATTCTAATCCGACAACAGTTACGGGAAATAAAACGGTTTAATCCGGAATACAAAAAACAGAGTTTTATATTTTTTGAAAATGAGTAAGTGCGGTCAGTGTAACTGCAGAACCTTTCAGACAAATCGTTATCCATATCGACACATGTTAGCTGCCTCATCTGAAGCGACAAAGTTTTGCAGATGATTGCGACAATTATTGAAAACTTTCTGATTACTAGTGAACTGTGTGCTAAAATATTGAAGAAGATAGCAGTGGAAATTTTATGTAAATGAGTCCGCCGACAATGCTGTTCATTTTCTGAGACCGTTACGAGAGTTTGGAGACCATTTAGGGTGTTCGAATAGGAGACTTGTTCCAAGCTCTTAAAAACCAAAGTCCTGAAGATTATTATTTAACGAGATTCTTTAATAGAGACCGGAATTTTCTGTCTGCAAACAACTGCCACAATATCTGCCAACAGGTGAAAGACATCCTACCAAAAAGCTCTCCGCATCTAGCGATAGCCTTGAGAATAACAATCTATGGCTGAAAATCAAAATTACTATAAACTAGTATTATGTGTATCCTTACAATCTAAAACATCTCTAAAATCAAAATTTATCCAAAACACTTATTCGCCTTTTTGGACTAGATCAAAACAGATTGCTTTTAATATCAAACAATCAAAGACAAAGGTTTTTTTAAGGTAACAAGATTGGACCATACTAGAAGACATCTGGCCAACAAGCTTGTGTATTAGCTTTTCACTTCAATCGATATATACTCGTTTTTCTAATGAACATCAGATTCATTTATCATTAGACAAAATAACTTGACAGTCATTATATCAACTAATCGGCAGACATTCAGCTACCCTTGAAAGGAATCAATAAAAGAAGTCTTGTAAATTTGATTTTAATGGCATGATGCTACACTATTTGTTGGCTTTTAGGTTGTTGCTTATTTGACAAATACCATGTTGTAAGCGGTCAAGTTAAATTCACCTATAGAAATTATGATTTTTACAAGGTCATTGATAAGAACTAATATTAGTGATATTGTAGTGCACACAACATACACTGAGGCTTGTTTCATCTAGTCTTCCATTCTCGTTCATTACAGTATCAAACAAAAAATGTTAAACTGACAAGTTTCCTAATTATATTGTATGGTAAAATAATGTAACTTATTTAGGAACTACACATTTTTGTACTCACCTATGAGGTATCTAGTTCAAGTTGGTAGTCGATCGGATATAATATTATCCTACTACATTGTCTAGATCGTAGTATGTAGAGAAAAGTATTTGGAACTACTGTTATTCTTCCTTCCGGTGTAATTAATATGCAGAAAATTTTTATTCTTACACTTTGTTCTAATTTTAATTAATTACAAACTATTTTCATGCTTGAAATTATCTATCATTTTCAAGTCTTCTCATATTGATTAGTATTATAAGTAATAATATTTTGTAAATACCATTTGTTATTAACAATTTTACTGTTGTTTGAAAGTAAAGTGCAATCAATAATG